ATAGTGAAATTTATTTGGTACCAACCTTGATCTGAGCAGTTTGCAATAATTGAAAATAAATAATAATTCATCATTCTTTATTAAATTTTTCATTTGTCAGTTCCAAATTCTTCAGTACGGTGTATGGTTTACAATGTATTCAATTAAATCTCATTTTATCAGCAAAACGCGATTTAGGTATACTATTCCATCTACCAGTTAGAATAGCTTCGTGACTTCATACAACAAAAGTAAACTGTTCGATCTACCAGATAGAATACTATGCGTTTCTATTATTCTATAAATTTATGGCGTACACTATTCTATGTACCAGATCGAATAGTGTACATTGATTACTAATTCAGACGTTAAAACGAATACTATTCAATCTGGTAGATGGCATAGTGTACGTTGTATTAGAACAAAACTTGGGACTTAAAGGAAATTCCAGATTAATAAAGCTAAAAGAACGTTAGTATATCTTGATTAGGTATTTACTATCATTGTGTCGTGCCCCAGCAAAAAATGTTCGTACTGCCAGATGTCGTAGTATTCGTGCGAGTTAAAAAAGTTGCAAACAAGGTACACTATGATAAGCGGCAGTTCGAATACTTTTAGAAGTCTTGGTGCACTTAGAATGCAGATAGAATAGTCTGTGGCTGATTTAAAATCTAAACTACACTGAATTTAGAAAAAATTTAAATGCCAGTAGATGCGTTTTAATGTGTACATTCTAATGCACTTGCCAGTGCAGTTAGCATTTTCTTTCACTTTGACTAGTATACGTAGGGAGCGTCGATGTGTAGTTTGGTATGCTGGTGATAACAACTGTTTATAATTCTCTTGAACTCCCAGAGCAAATAAAAATGCTAAGCAGTTAATTTTCTCAAGTCGAAACAAATGACGTAATAATAGTTCCGTGCATTTCTTGATAACGCATAATACGTTCTGACGTGGTTCTGACGCCACTTTATTCTTCGTGTGGGACGCCAAGTCGACGAATGACCTGTTGAACCCCGGTATTTTTCAACCACCTACTAGGTACTGCTAATAGCCTTCTGCCATGGTTGTGTAACGACCGCCGTCTAAGTGATCAATCATAGACAGCAACCGCGATCGACGGATCAATGTGTCCTCTGTAGTATGTAACCATTTTTCCTTTTCGGACAATCGGTGGTTTAGTAACCTAAGCAAACTGGGAACAAATTCATCATATCATTGGCCTCATACGTCTTTGACAGACGATTTATTAGTTTCTGAGGCAACATTTTTCATGGCTGTATAAGCCGATATGGGAGCGGCATGACTTTCCGCACGCTCTACGAATGAAGGTGGAATTGGAGACTGGCAAATGCATGTTTAGATGTCGTTTTTGCCTTTTGTTTTTGAGACCAGCGAAACAGGCAACGTCGTGAGCTTTACGCCCATCAAACACACGCTTTCTCCGTTCATCCCTATTCTCAGCAAGCTTCTCCCAGCTTTGATGGTCAATGTCAAACAAAGTGGAACAAATTAACAAAGTGATGAACATCATCTTCGTAAGTTACCGTCTGGAAATCGAATGTGAGACCTCCCTGAGACACATAGTGAGGTTACTAGAATACAGATGCAGTAATAACGTCATTATAGTCGCCTTCAGTTCCCGATAACTCATAAGTCGTTCTGACGTCTCATTTCTTATAATAAGCGCATAATAAATCGAGCTAAAGCGTCTTTCCGCAAGAATTTACATAATATTCTCATAATGTCCTCATAATCGCATCGAGCCATTGCCTGCACTCTTATAAAGGCATTAAAATGACTTCTAAAACCTAAGTGTGTTTGTTTACAGCAATAAAACTGCTATCGGATCTGTTTTCGTGGCCTTGTGGTTTTGCAAGGGGATAACGCGTAAATGGGTAATAAAATAACGACGGTATTATGTTGTGAAATTGCCAAAATTTGAATACATATGGCGAAAAACGCAAGCAAGGTCTGTTTGTACGTCATTCATTTGATTCTTCACCCTACCTTCATAAGAATACGGTTTATGTCAAACGGCATCGCACAACGCTGCGTCGATGGATGTGTCTGTCAAATCGTTTGACATGAATAAACCTTATTCGTATGTAAAAAGGTGTAAAATCAATCAAACTACGCACAAACGGACATTACTGTGTGATTATCGTTGGTTTATTATAGGCCTAAGCTTAACAAACTTACTGGTTATTGATAATTAGCGCATAATACAAATTGAAGCAAAGATATCTTGAATAAAAAATAGTATAATTGGGCTTAAATTGCCTTGCGGTGCAGACTTAGAATAGCATCACCCTATATCTTTCCTGTGGGTTTCGTAAGAAGCGACTAAGGGATTTGAGAGTTGATGTATGTTGCAAATTTAGTGATGATAGGCTGACTATGGTGATACACAGTGTACTGAATGACTCTCAAAGATTTTGTCAATGTGTTGTAAATGGCCGTTTATTCCAGCCGTTTACGCTCTGCCTACCCCGCAAGGGATATAGGCGTGATATATGTATGTATGTTGTATAGATAAACTTACAGATTACAGATTATTGGCGTACAAAAACAATAGAAGCGAAGCATATCTTGCCTCCAAATTAGTATTTATTTTAATAGACGTAGCACTTTTGCTACGACATGACTACGACGACCTTTGCTACAACGTAGCAATTCGTAGCAACCGAAGAATGCTAAAGTACGGCCGTCTGAATAATTTATAGCTGTCAGAATCATGTTAATGCTACGACATAAGGTCTGTTTTTCTTTGTGGAACTGTCTTATACTATGGGTTTGACAGCTGTCAAATATGGCCTAATCGAACGGCCGACAGTGGACAAGCAAACAGACAGCGAAGTCTCAGTAATAGGGTTCCGTTTTTACCCTTCAGATAAGGCACCCTAAATATAGGACATGAACATTAAGGTATCATCCTAAACAATGCGAAGTCCTAAAGTAGGTCCAGAGTAGACAAGATTTAAGCACAGTTCCTAAGTAGGTCTGGGAAATTGTTTACATCGTTATCTCTTTGAAACACCTTGCGTTCATTGCAAGTACTTCTCTTTCAAAGACTACGCAGCCTGCTAGACCGCACACTAGAAGCGCGCCATTTGTGAGTTATTTTAGCGTAACGAATGCGTTAAAACCGTTTGACATTAGGGTCCGTCAACGCAGCCTGTGTCATCATATTTATATGGGATTAAGGTGGAAATTCGTATTTTTTATTTACTTTGGATTACCAGCCGTTCAGTCGCAACCAGCCGCCCTGTTTAAGTCATTGCTCTACCTGGCTGGAACTAGTCACCGATCCATACACCTCAATGAGTTGATAGACTTGTTTGTTTCGAGATATTAGCATTGCAATTAAATTGGATTCAAAGACTCCCAGTCTGTTCTGACAGATTTTGCAAGCGATTTATTCAAGTCAATTACTACCATTTTAGGATTAATAAGGACTACTTTTTGTCAAGGCATGGCAGTTGGGAGTGGTTGCATTTAGAAGCAGTGAGCCGCTAAAATTCTCAATTAAGACGGAGCGCATAAGAATCTTGGGTACGTGGTAGGGTGCGTAGGTATCTACCTTAAGTCTGTGCGCGATCTGATTTCATTTGAAAGCAAAGACATTATTATGACATGTGGCTGTCATACATCCATCAAGACAGTATGCCTGAATCCGCCCGGCATCTAGTCCTTACAGGCTGTGTGGTCGTTGTCCTATCCTATTTTCTATTAAAGGAGATGGACGATTTTGGCTCCATGCCCGACAGCATTTTTAAGAGCAAAACGTGCACCTTTTCAAATCCCTTTTTATTAATTCTAGGTCCGAACTAACTTTCAATTTTGCAAAACTTAATAGGGCTGAATTGAATAGATAGGTGTAATCTAGCAAAATTATATTCTGCAATCAATTTTGTAATGGAGTTAAGTTTCTGTTTGCATCTTTCTTTTGAATCTTTAAGGGATCAATTTAAAATGGTTCATCGTACAGTTTACTAGTAAAACCCGTTAATGTTGACCAGGGATGTGACTTGAGTAATGAAAAATCGATTTTTCTATAATCGATTATTTCTGGTCGCAAAAAAATCGATTAAAAATAAATCGATTTTTACTTTAAAAAACATCGATTTTTAATGAAAATCGATTTTTTTGTTTAGCACCTTAACTTTATCAAAAAAATGATAGTTTGATCAAATAGCCGACCTCTGAAAATTAAAACAGAGAAAATTGTGTATAAAGAGCCGAACTCTTAAATTTAAGACCGAAAACACTGGGTATGGTGTGTTATAAATCATGCATAATCAAGACATTTGGTAAAAGAATAGAGCGCAAAAAAATCGATTTCTGTAGTTTTGGAAATTTTGAAAATATAATCGATTTTTATTTAATCGATTATTTCTACTCTTTTAATTAATCGATTAAAATCGATTTTTGGTCAAAGAAACATCGATTATTAAAATAATCGATTATTTTTTTACATCCCTGATGTTGACCCCTTGTAGAGGTAGGTTGACGCTTCTGATAGTACTGAAGTGGTTAATCTGACTGACAGGTTCCTGATTCAGGAAGACGCGTTCAGAACTATAGGAGTCACTTGTCACATATTCACTGAGCTGGAAAAATCGTTTTATATCTCAAGCAGACTTTGATGAAGACATTCTTTATATTTATTTCGCGATATAAATAAAAATTGAGCTTTTTATATCAAATTGTACTCAACTCTATTTTTGTCTCTAGCAGACTTTGATGAAGACATTTTTAGGTATAGGTATATTTGTATCGATATAAAAATAAAACGTACCAAAATCATCAAGTATGAGAACTGAATATTTCAAGTAAGTATAATTATTAATTGGGTACCTATTTATTTACACTATGCTACCTTACACCACAAAATACCGATGGCTTAACGTGACTCCCAAAGCACAGAACCATCTAACGGACAATCAGTTAGTTCAGCCTGCAATGTCCTTACCAGACTGGGATTAAATTCACAAAGTGATAAATTCACATTGTGAGTGTCCCACCGGGGATCGAACCCAGAACCTTCTGCGTCACAGGCAGTCACACTACCAGTGTGCCACATTGGCTGTTAAACAATAACAGTATCACAGCATCTGCGCTTTCTCCTGACAGAACCAAGCTTTAATTATTATGTGAGAACCAAGCTTCTTCTTCTTCCTAGACCATGTCCCATTTACTTAGGGTCGGCCTTCCCTGTCCTTCTCTTCCACTCTGCACGGTTTAGTGCTGTCTGTGGGTCTAAACTGGCGGCTTTCAGGTCTTTTTGAACCGTTGTCCACCAGGTGGTGGGCGTCTTCCGCGTTTTCGCGTCGTCGTAGGTATGTCCAGTGCTACTTTTACCATGTGGTCTTGTGGGCGCCTCTGAATATGTCCGAACCATCTTAGGCGTCGTTCCACCAGTTTGTCTGATATGGGTGCTATTTTGTAGCTGCCTCTGATGTATTGGTTTCTTATTTTATCTAGTAAAGTGACACCCGCTGACCAGCGTAACATGCGCATCTCCGTAGTATGGAGTTTTTTTTTTTTTTTTTTAGTTTATTTTCCAATACAAATTCTTATATATAGAAACATGATAAAAACCACATACCACGAAAACCTTTAAGGTTTATCTGGGTACAGGTGAGTCGTGACAAACTTAAGATAATACATTGTACAGATTGCAGGTTAGGTAATGTTTCTTTAACTTTGACCTATATTTTTGTTTGTTTACGTACATTTCTTGTAGTTCTACGGGTAGTTCGTTAATATAGGAAGTAAGAATATAACTATCCATTCTCATCCCGTATTTATTATTGACTTTAGGGAAGTGATATTTATGATTTGTGTATATGTTTCTTAAACGTTCGTTTCTCTTTACTTCATTTAATAGGTATGGTTTTTGTATTTCGGTTAATATATTAAATTTAATTTTATCGTATACACTCATAATTTGGCAATATTTAAATAATTGACCGTAATCATTTTTATACTTATTTTTTATATGTTTAGGTACAATTATTTTGAGTAGTCTTATCTGCAAATCATAAATATCCTTCATGTTAGTTTTACAACTTCTACCATAACTGCTCAGACCGTAACTAATGACTGAGTCAGCTAGGCCATATACAGCAGTCTAAGTGTTTTGTAAGGTAGTTTATATTTTAGGATTTTTAGTTTGCTCATTATTGATCTTAATTTAGAACAAACATGCTGTATATGCGATACCCAACTGAATCTATCGTCAATTATCAAGCCTATGTACATGTGATTACGGACTAATTCTAGTTTTTCACATGAGCAGCTGCTTGGCGCGGAGTGCAGGCAGGTATGACTATGAGCGACGATGGTAGGTATGATGTCAGATTTTATGTGGGAGGAATGGATATGCAAGAACTTTGTTTTTTGTGCATTAATTATCAGACCCACATCGTGCGCCCATTTACAAAGTTGATTGAAGTTATGTTGCATAATAGTTTGAGCGTTACTTAAGTCATCATTTGCGACCAGGAGACATGTGTCGTCCGCAAACTGGTATATTGAACCCTCCGTAAGTATGTTAACCATATCATTAACGTATAGCAAGTATTCAGTAGGTCCAATAATTGAGCCTTGGCCAGCCCTGTGGTAAGTAATAAGTTGCTATTTTGGTTAGATATTTTAACCGTCGTGTATCGGTTTGAGTGATAGTTTTTAAGTAGTTGTAATAGTGGTCCGCATATACCAGTTCGCGAAAGCTTCTCATACAGCGTAGAATATCTTAAGACGTCAAATGCTTTGCTAAAGTCAATCAGTAAGACAAGCACGTGACGTTTCTTGTTTAAATAAGTGTTGACTTCATTCGTAAATTTACATAAAAGCTGAGTAGTGCTTTTATTTTTTTGAAAGCCGTATTGTTCATTATTTATGACGTTGTTCGACTGTAAGTACTTATTAATCTTGTTACTTAGATACCGTTCTAAAATTTTGTCTACACATGATAATATCGTAATGGGGCGATAATTATTATAATCATCGCGTTTCCCCTTTTTATAAATAGGCCTTATGACACCAATTTTCAGTAAATCCGGGTAAATTGACGTAGTCAGGCATCGGTTTATGAGATGAGTTATTACTGGCACTAAGTGCGTACTCGCGTATTTAATGTCCACGGCCCTTATACCGTCATAACCAGGACTTTTTTTGTCATTTATTTGTCTAATTATTTTCTCGACTTCTTCTTCACGTGCATATCCCACTCTGATCGACTTATCGGGTATGTTTTCGTATAAACTACAATCTAGCAGGGGTACGCAACAGTTATTCCCTATGTTTTTAACATTTTTATCAAATTCTGTCGCAAACGAGTTAGATAAGGTCTCGGGCGGAAGTTTAAAGTTTCTAATTAAGATATTGTCTATGCACTGTAAAATTTTGCCCGTTAAGTTGTTAATAATAGACCAGACTTGTCGTGGGTTATTAAAGTTGTTACATATATCTGACTTAGTTTTCCGATTTTTTAAATATTGTGTATACTTATTGGTTTTATTTCTGTAAGTATTATAGAGTAATCTTTTTTTAGCATTATTTTCATCTTTTAACCAGATATTGTATAGTTCGTCGCGTTTTTCACACATGTTTTTAAGGCGCTGGTTAGTCCATACGAATGCATCACAGGTGAACTATGTGCTAACAGTTATAAACTAGGTATATGTGCAGCTTACCGACCGCCAGATTGCAATAAAGAAAGATTCATCACAGAATTAAATACAACCTTATCCTATTATAATATTCGTAGCAACTATATGTTAATCGGCGACATAAACCTAGACATAACAAAAAATAAACCTATATTTAAACGCTACTTAAACTCCTTATCTGAAATAGGTTTTGAAAAGGGAATATCCCAATACACAAGAATTGAAAAACGTGGTAATATAATATGTAAATCCTGTGTAGACCACATTTTTATTCGCAACAATAGTGAAATGGATATTTACACCAGTGTAGTTAACGTCGTCCCGGCCGATCATCACATAATTGGCTGTGCGATAATAAATGCATGCGAAGATGACTCACGCTCGACGCGCGCAGATCAGCTGATAACTAAATACAATAACGATATTTTGCACAGTGAGTTATCTATGATCGACTGGAGCGAGCCGCTAAAATATGATAACCCTAATGATATTTACAACTATATACATGAAAAATACTCTATCGCATACAACAAAAGCAAATTTACTATGAAATGCATAGGAAAAAGAAAAAAATGTGTACTAAGTTTATGTATATGGTGTTTGTTTGTGCACTGACGGAACCAAGCGATTAATAGAAACAGTATACCTCATTGTTAGTGGAACATCAGCTATAGAGTTTCAAGGAAAATAAGCACAAACAGGAAGGCATTAGCCGTTGTTTGCGGTAAATATGACCTGGTTTAGAAGCTCTGCGGAGTATCAGTTATTTCAAGCTTTTCATGACTATTCATAGACTTTTGAATGGGCCCTGACTGCCGAAATGTTTTGTTTTGTGCTTGTTGTCATTACCTTTTTTGTGCTTGTTGTGGTCTCCCATTTCCGCATTTTGACTCAAAAGTGGTCCTTTATGCGTTTGTCTACGTTAGCCAACCCAGCTTCTTCAAGAAGCACGTAAAGCAAGAAACACAAAATATAACGTCGGTTTGCGTTTTATTATTTCGCTGCGAACGTATGCGTTAGGACAATACGGATTTCCACCTTATACATTGGTTGTTATAAAACAGTTTGACAGACGCTTACGTCTTCGCAGCGTTATGCGATTCGCAGTACTTGCGGAGGCGTCTGTCAAACAGTTAAACATAAACCGTATTTGAATGAAATTAAGGTAGAAAATCGCATTTTCGACGTTACGTATTTTACTCGCCTTAATCAACTGGGTTAACAGCTCTCATCTTTTGATTATCAAATTAAACCAAAAGTAAAATATAGGTACCTACTTCATTACACTATAAAGATAACAAAACAAACGATAAACAAAATAACAACTTAATTGGAACAATTGGCGACCTAATTGCTAACGAAGCAATATTTTCCAGGCAACCAGGCAATAAAGTGACAATTGCTTATTAAAAGAAATTGTAACAAAGAATTCTGAAAACTATTTTGATTTCAATTTAATAAAGGAAATAATCAAATCTAGGCCCCCCTCTAAGTAACGGCTAAGAATCTCATGAAATGTAAAAAAGATGATACGTTTTTTGGATCAAAATCTTATATAAATCATCTTCAGGCGAAACGGGAATCACAATTTATGTTAAAAAGTATATTTTTGTGTTTTATTCCGGTCAAAATTCTGGTTCCTTGATTCTGCTGACATATGTGACACAAACGTAAAGTAGGTACTAAGAGCAACTAAGAGGAAATAAGGGTAAAATGGAGCAGTTTTTAGAACCCAGGATGCGTAAAAACAACTACAGCGCAGACAATCTCCTGTGTATGCCGAGTGATGCCGGCTTAGAACAGCATCACCCCAATTCTACCCGTGGGTGTCATAAAAAGCGACTAAGGGATACTCATCCAGGGAATGGGCAGCAGGGTTCCCTGTTAATGCACCATCATGCACTGCGCTCGCCAATCCGCCTGCCAAGCATGGTAAGTATGGCAATACCCCCCGATAGGGGGAGGCCCATGTCCAGCAGTGGACCGTTGTGGCTGTTATGTTATGTTATAGCCGGGTTCGTACGTAAGATAAGCAACAAAAGCGACTACAACAACATTAATGATAGATTAATGATTAATGACATTTTTATGATTTATATGACTTTATTAAATAATAGTAATAAATTAATAATAGGCCAGCTGCCACTGGCATTACAACGGCAAAAATATAACAGACCGTGCCACAGGAACTGCCAAGGGTGATACGAATTCGTGTTTGGAAACTTCTTTCAACAATGTCTTTAAACTTCTGATCAGGGGTAGGTACCATTTTACCCCATCTACCCTGCAAGTATTACATACTCTTTGAAACTCTCATAGAGAATAAAACTTCTGCCATACTTCTGCATTTCCTCTTTTGCTATTGTCATCAAGTTGTCATTTGGCAAAAGGAAGTATACCCGCACACCCGCAACGTACTCGACGTACGCGCTGAATAATGCGGATGGCCTCGCACACCTAGCCGCAAGCACAGCCGCATTGAATAGAGTTGGTGTTGCCAAGAGAGTACTTTCCTCCCAATTTAATGTGTAATTTTGCCGTATGTGTGTATTTTTCGGAATTTTATTTCAAATAATAATTGCTGTCATTTTACGCCAAAGACACGTTCAAGCAGCCAACTTTCGTAACTGCAGAATTTTCTCCGTGCACCACGCAGCTTACTTTTGTTCCCATATATCCAACTGATCACTTCTACAGTAGAACAGGTCGGAATATTTTCTACGTTCTATGTTCTACGGTGGAACAAAACTTTTGAACATATTACAGGTCCCGCTGTTTCAACTTTTAAAAAATATTATTGTTCAAGGAAGTAGAATGTGCAGAAAAGCAAAATACGTCAAAGTAGCAAAATGTAAAATTGCTAGAATGTATACGTAACAAAATGTAAAGAAGAAGCGGAAAACATTTTGTGCCAATGTCTAAATGTTAAGGTAACAGAATGTCAATTGAATTTAAAAGGACGGAATCTCAAATATTAAAATGTCAAATAAGCAAAATGTGAAAATGTCATTTGGTTATTCTTTAAGAGTGACATAGACTCCAAAACCTTCGAAACTTTAGTTAAGAAAAACTGGAACACGGACGGTGAACAGCAGACTTTACTGGGAGGTAATGTTGATGGGACAGTCTGGCAGCATTGACAAAAACTAAATCTTTTTAAATGGTTACACTGTCCGCGTGCGCTCATGACGTCATCAGCATTATAGTCTATGATTAGCACTGGCTTAGATTAGACAGCCGCCACATCGGCTGTCTAATCTAAGCCAGTGCTAATCATAGACTATAATGCAGTGGTTAGTATGCCTGCCTGCCACGCAAAGGTTCCGGGTTCAAATCCCGGTGGGGTCAATCACAAAGTTGATATTTATCACTTTGTGAATTTGGTCCCAGTCTGGTTAGGACATTGCAGGTTGAACCACCTGATTGTCCGCAAGTAAAATGGTTCCGTGCTTCGGATGGGCACGTTAAGCCGTCGGTCCCGGTTGCTGTCTATGATGGCGGTCGTTACACAACCATGTCAGAGGCCTGATACTTGTAGTAGGCGGTTGAAAAACTCTGACACCAGGGTTCATCGGGTCGTTGAACGACTCGGTGTCCCACACAAAAAAGAGAAAAGAGCACTGGCTGGGGAATCCGTTCGGTTAGGCGCGTGCGGCTCGACAATATTTTCGAGGTTCCACAGATTTTCATACAAAGAATCCAAAATTCGGCGAGTGCGTTGTGGGTGTGCGGGTATAAATACTTTCACCTTATAACTCTTATCAAAATACTTAGTTAGGTTATGCCATTTTAGGTTAAGAATTATTTTGCGTCGTTTCATCAGTTTCCCGTTACATAATTAAAAACTAAGTATGCCACCATGATCTAGATAGCGTAAGAAATACATTACTACGAGTTTAATTACTAGCCATTTCGATTTAGGCCCCCATTTCGAGGGGCCTAACCTTGTATGGGCATATGATTATCACCTTTACATTCTTTACATATGTACTTGGAAGGAACTAACTCATGTACCTATGAAAATAATTAACATTAAAGGTGAGGTACTTACCTATTTTAAGTTGGCATTGGCAGTAAGTACACTTTTATAGGCTCTATTAGATTAAGCGCTCTTTTAACGAAAATTAAAAACCTTATTTATTTTCTTAGAGAAAATATCGTCATTTTTAATTAAAAACATTTTCTAAGGCACAAGAAACCCCTTCGTTTAATGAAAAAGTAAATTTCGTTTCAAACCTTTTCGGAGAAATTAAAATCGCCTTAAATTTAGTTGAAGAAGGCTTTGCCTCAAAAATACTTTCAATTAAGTTAATTTATAACAGCGGGTACTTTTTGTACAAGTGTTTTCAGAGGAAAAATATTATGACCTACTAAATCGATTTCAGTAGCTGATTTCATATTTGGTAATATCGCCACTTCTAATCGACGACTTCGAGGACCAGTTGTTAGTGCCCAGGATCTAGTACTAAACTGACCTCGACACAAAACGATTTCTAAAAGCTAGACCACCTGTCACACATACAACTATGTAGCCGGAATCGTGTATGTTCACGTGTACTGCAAAACAAGATTGGCTACTGCAGTCACATGAGGGCGCACGAGCGTGCAAACCAGCTGAGCCCCCGCTCCTGATGCAGTCGCTGTAGCCGAAATCGGCTAAGACATCATCATCACCATCATCATCAATATCGCCAGCAAATCCAACTACCTATTGCTAGACCACAAAATCATGTAGCAAAAGAATTTGGCAATGTTTATGACTTGCCGCCTGCCTTTGGGAATGCAGCTTTTAGTAGGTAGTATCACCGCCACCATGCGTCTATGGTCTACCATAGTGCACAAATATTCAGGCGAGGCCTACGTTGCCTTTTACGAAACACACTGAGAATACTGGGGGTGGCAGTATTCTAAGTCGCTACCACACGGAAACCTACCCATTGGGGTTAACTTATACTGGTTAATCATACAAATACTAAGAAAAACCAGTTTAAGTTGATCCCTTAAGTGGTAGGTGAATTTACTGGCTACCCATCCATCGTGTTTACAACATGGCTTAAAAATTAGGGTCGTTACACAACCATGTTAGAAAAAAATAATGCTAGGGTTCATCGGGTTGTATTTTTTCAACTGGGTTTCCTACAGATAAAAATCTTTTCAGCAGCAAAGTACTTGGGGTCGGCGCAACACCTTTGTTTGAACACAAAATCATGTTGCAAAAGGTTATGGCTGACCGGCCGCCTGCCTGACGTCAACCCTCTTTGGGAATGCTATTGTAGGTGGTATCACCGCCACCATGCGGTTGACCATAGTCAACAGATGTTCAATCGAGTCAAAACTCTACTTCGCTTTTTACGAAACACCCTGAGTGGATTATGGGTGGCAGTATTCTTAGCCGCTACCACAAATGATTAAAAAAATCTAATCCTGATGTGACCTCGAGAGTACATTATGTGTGGAGTTATTTATCATGTTTTCGGTTAGGAGTTATAATATGTGCTGTTTATGGCCACGATCGCGACAGCTAAAGATTCATAAACCATAAAATACGGCCTCAATTTACCCGTTCACCCTTATAACTCAATTTTCTAAGAGTTCTTTCAAATTATCCTGTCTATTGCATGGTATCATTTATCAGGGGTTACAAAGGCTATGTTCCTGGCGACCCTATTAACATGGCAATTTATTTTTATTCATACCCCTGCGTTTCCTTGGCACTTTATGGTAAATCGTGCGATGGCTGTTCTATTAAAATTTAACACGTAATATGAGGAAACGTTTTATTTACAGCGAGCGAGGCGCTAGCTCCACAGAGTACCGAGACGTCAAACGTGAGACGTTAGATGGCATCTGTCAAAGTGATCGTTGGAGACGTGAGACGTGCGACATCGCGACGCTTGACACTGTTACCATATAAAATGTTTGAAAGCTTCACACACGTAAGAAGCGCGTCGCATCTACAACGGCTGACGATTGCTCTGCTGACAGTTGTTTTATTTTTTGAAAGCTGTCAAACTTTTCCATTGCAGACGACTTTTTTGCATAGTAGCAAAAACTTGAATAACTCGGAAAGTATGTACCTATAAACAATCGCGGTCTGCGGAACATAACCTACATGGGGTGATTCGGATACCTGTTAGTATGAGGATTTTAAAGTTAATCTTTTGACGTCATTGTATGAACCACCCCGTACCTATGTATGTATGTATGTTGTATAACAAGCTGATGTATTAAAAAACAAAAACCCGACTGCGGTAATTACAAAGTTGTATCTTACGACTCCTCATATGTCAAAATCCAACTATCCGTTTGGGCTGTAGCCCGTGAAAAAGAATTTTCTTGTTCCAATACATACATACATACTCTCGCTTCTGAGACAGTCGGGTGAAAACATTTCACTGAAGATCCTTAAAAGGTGCTTCAATATTACAATTCTTTGGGCCGGTAAGTATTTGATTTACCTCCTTCAATAGAAAGCAAGAAAAAGACGGTATAAAATATGAGACAAAACCTCGAAAGCAGTATTATATCCGCGAACACACCTGTACACTCAGAATTAGAATAATTTATTCATCCATCACCTTTTTTCTCTTCTAATAAGAACAAAAGCTGCTCGAGTCGTTCACTTGGGAATAAGACCCACTGCAGATAAGACCCAGTTTATCTAGGAGATTTTGTATGTACTTATTTAATTTTCTTATATTTCTGACATTATCCCAAATCAGTTGGGGTAGGCGCAACATGATTAGTGAGAACACAAAATCATGCAGGTAGCAAAACGATTTGGCAATGTTTTATGACCGGCCGCCTTCCTCATGTCAACACTCTCTAGGAATGCTATTGTGGGTGGTTGACCAGAGTCTGCAGATATTCAGCCGAGGTCAAAAACTCTACGTCGTCTTTTACCAAACACCCTGAGAGGACTAGGGGTGGCAGTAATCTTACCCGCTACCACACGGCTATATACTGTATTTCATTTACAAAACTTGTCAATAAATTAGACCCAGGGACAAAATTAGATGTGAAGTACAGTCTACAGATTAAAACTAAGTAAATAATTATAATCAATTCATAGTATAAAATAACGTAGTTTTTTGTATTTCTTGTCTGTCATGGACACCGCTATTTCCTCCTAAACAAATTTTATGCATTTTTAAGACATAAAGTGATTGAAGGGTAAGTTTAAACGTCTCAATTCCACGATTAGAAACATGTGCAATTTAACATTAGAATACAGGTGTACAAACTAGATTCTGGACCCCCTTAGCTACTAATCCGGAATATTATTTTTTATGTTTGAATTTTTATACACCCCATACATAATGTATTGTGCTAGTCAGCATAATTATTAGTATCGAAGATCCAACTGTCATAATTCGGAAATCAAATAACTTCATTTCATCTGAATCTAAATCTTTTCTTTGGACCAATAAACAAGGACAGCCTGTGTAATTTAAACTATTTGAAAATAGCTTACTAACTGCAAAATGTCACGTGCAATTTTCAGTGGGTCTATTTATTGACATCTTCAGTTGATACAACGTAATGTCGCCAAATAAACCTACTGGGTCTTATCGGCTGTGAGTTCTAACAATAACAAAAGCTGCTCTTTTATAAAACCTCGTTTCTCCGATACTTTCAATCTTAACTTAGGCACGCGCCATTTTTCTCGTAGAGTGAAATTGGATGGTGGCCAATGTTAAATTTAGCACGGGGACTCTTAAACTATGAAACCTGTGGGCACTAATCTGTAAAAAACTTGCGAGTAATTGAAATAGGAACATTTTATCGGAATAGAAACTTATTGCATAGGAATCTAAAACTTTGTCTAGCGTTTCAGTCTAGATAGACCGATGACTTAAAAAGGCGGCTGGTAGCGACTGGATGGAAAGAGCGACAGTTCTTAGCTGTCGTAGGCCTACGTCACACAATGAGCTGTTATGTGATGTGATGCTTGCAACATAAACAACACTCCGGTCTCCGAGTTGTTTCTTTTCAATGGTTACGTAGTTTATAAAGACTGGATGAATCTTCCTAGTTCTGCGGCTTATAAGTACGAAAACTAATACGAAAAGAAATTTGACCTCCCATAGTAGGGAAATCAATCAGCTGATCGGCGATTTCGTATGGGAGATCCAATTTTCGATCCATGGTCCATGGGGAAAGTTCTTCAGTTTCATGAGTACCTTGACCTCTTTTCGGCTTTATCCTTTTTGTTACTCCCTGAACATTTACTTAGTCTAAAGTGACGTGAACCACGTTTTCCATCAGAAATAACAATGTGTAGGTACGTGTCAGAAATCAAATGATCCTTTCCTTCCTTTTTTTTAACCTATCTAAAAAAACTTTGA